AACGAATAGGCTAATATATAGATTAATAAACGGTAGGTTCTGTCCTTTTACACACATTAAAAAACAGGGGAGAGGTTTAGAGGCCCAGTGGCCAATTTAACAGATGTTGAGGGACAAAAACATAAAACTAAGCTTTGGGCAATCGAGGGGTGAAAATGCCTATTCCACCGAACTTTTTAAACAGTGGAAGCTTTCTGTTTTTGTGACAGATTGACAGAGCTCACAGAGTAGAGAGTAGTAGTTAATTCTTGGCAGAAAGTATGTGCTGTTCTAGGCCGCCTTGTTTAGATCATCTTCAAATTTCAAGTTTTTTCACTCTTTCTTCATCACATCAATTTTTAGATACATACATGGAGTATTAAATGTAGGTAAAAAAAATAACTAATTACATAGTTTGGTTGTAAATCACGAGATGGATCTTTTGAGCCTAGTTAGTCTATGATCGGATAAAGTTTGTCAAATACAAAGCGAAAAACGTCTTCTGATGTCCAGGGTTGCAAAAATTTACAATCTAAACAAGGCCCTACTAAACTTTTCGACTTTTTTTTTCTCTCTAAGATTGACATGTTTGTTGCAAAGATTGGGTGTGCTCATCATGTTCGTAGTTCATTGCCCTATGACTCTGATCAACAGCTTTTGTTTGCGCTTTTTCTATTACGTCCCAAAGCTGCATTATTATAAACTATTCTTGTGCCTGGCAGCTGTTTTCTTGCTTCCTGTTAGAAGAAAAAAAATCAGTTATTTATGTATTTATTTATTTTTGAGGAAGAGAGCACAAAATCTAAACAGCTGTGCTGGTCAAATAAGGTCATGCTGTCTACAGATCCTGTGGACATTGGTCCTATTTTGACCTGTGGATTGCTGTCCATCTCCTGAAAGTATTTACAGTGCACCCTGTGCATTTCTCTGCTTCATGCTGCCACTCCCTGAATCCCACATTCAATATTTTCCTGAACTGCTAGTACTACTGTTCTCTGGTTGATTTCGATTGTAAGGCCTTGTTTAGATTGTAAGTTTTTTCGCTCTCTCTTTATCACATTAAATCTTTAGACACATGCATGGAGTATTAAATATAAATAAAAAAATAACTAATTACACAGTTTGATTGTAAATTACGAGACGAATCTTTTGAGCCTAGTTAGACCATGATTGGATAATAATTATCAAATACAAACGAAAGTACTACAAATGCCAAATACTCGATTCTCGACTGCAATCTAAACAAGGCCTTAAAAAAAGACAGATGCAAAGATCTACAGGATGTCTGGCACGATCTGCAAGCAATTGAATGAATGCAAGGTGGCAGGTGTAAGATGTTACTGTACATCTCGCACTTTATGGTCCTGCTGTCCTGCAAATCCGGTAAGTAAAAACTTGCATTGCAACAGGACATTCATCCATCTGAACTTCTGAAGAAGCCATGCTCAGGTACATCAGGTGATGACGTTGATGCATCATGCATGGATGAAGAAAGAAGTGAAGGCTGTGTTTAGTCCGCAAATTTTAGAAATTTGATTACTGTAGTACTTTCGTTTTTATTTGACAATTATTGTTCAATTATGGACTAATTAGGCTCAAAATGTTCGTCTCGCAATTTCCAACCAAACTGTGCCATTATTTTTTTTTCGTCTACATTTAATGGTCCATACACATATCGCAAGATTCGATGTAATGGCTACTGCAGTATTTTTTGGAAAACCTTTTGGGAACTAAACGAGCCCGAAGATTATAAACGGAGATTGGAGAGATCCATGCCTGACAGACAATCACAGGGTTGGACAATGTGACAAAAATTTGAAACGTACGTCCCATAGAAAAATCTCTCGCTTGGCCTCTTCTTCCCAGTTCCAAGAGAGATTATAAGCCCGTGTTTAGTTGCGAACCAAATTCCAAAAAAAGTGCTACAGTATTTATCACATCGAATCTTGAGATACGTGCATGGAGCATTAAATGTAGACGAAAAAAAACTAATTACACAGTTTGGTTGGAAATCACGAGATAAACGTTTTGAGCCTAGTTAGTCCATGATTGAACACTAATTGCTAAATAAAAACGAAAGTAACACGGTAGCCAAAATTCCAAACTTCACCCAACTAAACACGCGCTAAACAAGGCATACTCGCCACCCCTGTCCTGCTCTCGCCGTCAGGCCCAATGCCACTGCAGCTCCCTCGAGACGAGCTTAACCTCCACGCGCGCGGGTGTGTCGTCGTTCTCAAGGCGAGGAAAAGGCCGTGTCCGATCGCTTAACTATGCGTAGTCCGCCATTGCTGCTTTTCAGGAGGAAAAGAGCTTTGTCTGCTCGTGTCATCGCCATGGTTAAAAGGTATACTACTGTTTGCCACTAGTGTTCTGCTGTTCTTTTAAGCTGCTGTGGAGTGGGAGTTGTGCACGTACGTGTGAAAAGCCGCAGCCAGCGGGTGTCCGGCGCCGTCGGATCAACCAACCGACGGTCCACCGGTTTTCGATCGATCAGTGCATCCATGCATCTTTATAGTTTGTGTTTGTGGCACACCACCGCCGAGCAGTTTTTCTACATGTCTTTGCCTCTCTCTGTGTTTCTGCCACTAGTGTATGTATCCTGGAAATGCAGATGCAACTTTCAAAAGATGAATATAATGCAGTGTTGTGTATATAATTTGATTTGAAGGGGCAAATAGCCATGAATTCTCGTAATGCATATGGTCCCTGAGATGTCTCCTGAGAGGCTTTCCCTGTTCCTCAGGACAAGAAAAGCTAGGTTGGAATGGAGTATACAACCGGCCACTTGCATTGGTTTGGTTCCAACAGAGAAAGCTGATGGATCCTACGGCTACGGTTGACCCAACGTGACAGCAGTGCTGGCTCTTTCCAGGGCCTAATGGCCTGTTCCCTTGGCAAAAAGAAAAGCAATTATAAGGCGACAAACGCCAACATGCACGCACGGCCGTTTAGCTTTGGAGGAGGCTTCCCTCCATGTTTTTGGCTGTGTTTGGATGCCACCTTCTTGTTCTCTTATGCTGATGTTCTTCTTGCTGAAAGCTTTGTTGTTGTTCAGGTTATGTGGGTGGAGCAAAAGCCGCATGTCTGTTGTTGCAGGCGTTTTAAACTAAATGAAAAAAAACACTACTACTAGTACAAGCTGACAGGCAAGTACAGTGATAATATTGAGTGTGTTGGCATTTTAATTAAGGCCTTGTTTAGATTCCACCAAAAATCCAAAAATTTTCAAGATTCTTCGTCACATCAAATCTTGTGGCATATGCATGGAACATTAAATGTAGGTAAAAAGAATAACTAATTGCACAGTTTGCCCGTAATTGACGAGACGAATCTTTTAAGCCTAAATAGTCCATAATTGAACAATTTTTACCAAATACAAACGAAAGTACTACAGTAGCCAAAAGTCAAAAAAAAAATTCGCATCTAATCGGGGCCTAAGAAGAGCCGTATAATCTGGATGTTTGTGTGTTGCAGCTGATCTGTTCAGATGGATGCAGTCTGCTCAGCATATATATGTACGCCGTGTTTAGTTCACCCCCAATATCCAAAAAGTTCTTTATAGATCATCGCTATATCGAATGTTTTTGCGAATTCATGCATGGAGCATTAAATGTAGAGCGAAAAAGAAAAACTAATTGCACAGTTTGGTAGGAAATTACGAGATTTAACGTTTTGAGCCTAATTAGTCCATATTTGAATACTATTTGCCAAATAAAACGAACACGCCTAAAGAAACCCTAAAATCCAAATTTCTCCAACTAAACAAGTGCGTAGCTTCTGTCGTACACTATCATCAGCATGTGAGAAACCTCAGGAAGATCAGAGAGTGCATGCATGCATACTCTCTGAAGTCTGAACAAACAAACCCTGACTTGCAACCGTTGGATTAGCGTCTAAGATAATTGCATTCTTGTTTTTTGTTTCGAAAGAAATGACTCTCTTCTACTTATCATTGCACGTAATCACCTTCGTATTAGTTAACTAATTATGAAGGTGATTAGGCTGTTCCTCTGATGGTGCCGAATTATGGGAAACGGACTTATAGCATTAGATTGGCAGCAGAAGACACGTACGTACGTCTCTGACAGTCTGAATTAATTAACAACATCAACGTTCTATATACAGCAAATCTTCATAGAACAAGTTCCAATCCAAATGAATAAATGATGGAACGGAGTCAACAACTACGTATAACAAGGAATTCACAAGGATAATGATGCTCCGTCGTCTGCACATGCAAAGTTGACTAGTTCCTTGTCTGACTCTAGCACATCAAGCCGGTATAGGAGTGTCGCCCCTGGGATTCCCACCGATCACCAGCTTCGAGCATGTTGAATTGCTCGAGGGACACTGGCTGGAATTGAGAGCCTGCCTGCTGGTCCATGAGACCATACGACTCCTCCATGGCATGCATGATCGAAATGAACACCACCAAGCGTGCACATAGTTTTCCACTCTTAGGCCATGTTTAGTTGGCCCCAAACTCCTGAATTTGACACTATGCAAAAAGAAGATTCCCCGTCACATCAAACTTGCGGTATATGTATGGAGTACTAAATGTTGACGAAATCAAAAACTAATTGCACAGTTTGATTGTACTTTACGAGACGAACGTTTTGAGCCTAATTAGTCGACGTTTGGACAATTATTACCAAATAAAAACGAAACAACATTGTAGATACTGTAGCTACAGGAAAAACGCCGGCGCCGATTCGGTGGCCATCTAAACGCGGCCTTAGTGCTTGATGAATCGATCATGTACAGTACAGTACAGCATTGGGAACTGCATTAGCAGGACCTACATATGGCAATGGCATGGTGAAAATGCACATGAGCCTTTGGTCCGACAAGAGTGTCCTAAACAAATCAGAGAGGTTGCTGGTAGTAGGAGGAGTAGTAGGTAGGCAGCCTCTTTGTTTTTTGTGGCATGCCAATGATAGGGAGCATGTAGGCTGTGTTTTCTATCTATGTCGTCGGACCAGCAAAGATTCGCCGGCCGAGGTGACCTGGTCGCTTGCCTAACATAGCTTATCCTCCTCCAGATTCCACAATCGTTTCGTTTCTTTACAATTATGCGATTCCTTTTCAATTTTTGCTGCTTTCCAGACTAGCTTGACTGTGCATCTTAATCTGCCACCTCCGGATCTGAAATAGTTTTGCAATTCTATTATACAAATTTTATTTTTGATTTTTTTTTGAGCAAACAAATTTGCTTTTTGATGATCCATGCCGGCGCCGATGGGCCGATGGTTCGGTGGGTTGGCACAAAGAAAGGCGCCAGCCGAAAAAGGCTCCTCTGGTCAAGCTACGGGCCGGGCCAATTGTGTTCAGACCGACGAACCTCTGGCCAAGTTGGGCCAGACTCACATTGCTTGGTCTAACGCCAAACGAGCCCATGTCCAGCCAGCGGTTGCCCGGTTGTGACCGTCGCTTTCGGAAGGCGACGCGAAGAGCGGCAGGCAGTGCTCGGCTTCGTCGGCGCGTCGCCGTCCGGAGGCCGAAGCTTCTCCTTATCCTCGGCGGAGGGGATTCTGAAATCGAGGTGCGCAAATAGGTGAGCCAGTTTCCACGGTTGCGCTTTTGCAAATGGGAATGGTGCGCAAATAGGGTATTTTCACCTGCATTTAGTTTTTTTTTTAACAAAATTATACAACTCTAGTTTGAGTTGTTTGTAGTCTTTTAGGGGGGCATTTTAGCTAAATGTATTTCTTTCGGTTCATACAACCCTAGTTTTAAGCTACAATTCGTGCTTTAGTTGCAATTTAGGTCTCTCGTGCACGTCTCCAATATCGCTGTTTGACTGTATGTCAGGCCGAGATTGCTTTTCTCCTCCCGTATCTTGTAGTCCCGTTTAGATATTGCCATGTGATGACGTGATGTGATCTCCGCAGGATCATAGCCGGCAACATGCTTCAGCGACCTTTGGGTGATTGCATATACACAGCCAAACCTGTTGGCATTGAGACCCTTGGTGGATGAATGGGGTCTGCATTAGGTGAATGTTCTTGTCTTTCGTCTTCAGATGTTGCGCTTAGGCCCCTTATGTTCCATTGGACATATCACATATCAGGATAGTACAGTTCAAAAAAAAAAATTGCAGTTCAAAAAAACATATCAGGATAGTTGCAGCCAAGGATTTCTCTGTTTTCCTTTTCCCTTTTGACTGCAAGCATTCAGGGAAATTGGAACTTAAGGGCTTCAGCCATTTTTTTACTGCACTTTGCAGCCAAGGATTTCTCTGTTTTCCTTTTCCCTTTTGACTGCAAGCAGTCAGGGAAATTGGACTTGAGGGCTTCAGCCATTTTTTAAGTGCACTGTACTTTTTGTTTATACAACTCAAGGTATGCTCTTTGTGAATTATCAGGTCATTCATGGGCGTTGGTAATATCGTGCCCTTTAGGTGGCGTTAACGCATTGTGTTCGGTGCTGTAAACATGTTCAGACTTCAGAGTGTAAAATTGTAGAATCTTCAGTGTAATATCATTTTTACCTGGCAAGGTGTGGCTATATATAATCTAAAGGTGTGCGTCTAACTTGTACTTTCCAAATTGTTCTGAGATAATGTTGAATATTGTCCGCACTTCAATTTTGGTAGACTACATATTAATACTCCATGTTTCTGTATTAAACAAAAAAAATGCATGTAGTTAGAATTTACTGGAAAAAAATTACTTGTGTTAGTTTCAGTTCTTTTAGAATACATGTTCAAGTGGTGTAACTCCCAGTTCTCTTTCTTATTGAGTTTTATCTGTTATGTTGAATTGTACACAAATTTAGATCTATTATTCATCTACTGCACATGTAGTGTTGTTAGGCATTTGTTATAGCCCCTTGAAGCACTGGGCTGTAACTTGAGATGAAGCTTCTTGATGTTTGAAGAAACATGCAAGGTCACAATGTTATATTTCTTTTTTTATATGTACAATAAATTCAAATGAATTGCTTATTTGATTAACTTCTTAATTTTTATCCTTAATATCTGGAATTAAAATGAGGAGAGGTAGAGGAAGACCAAAATTGACATGGGGGGAGGCAATAAAAAGAGATTTGAAAGCTTGGGATATACCTAGAGATCTATGTTTGAATATGAGTACTTGGAAAGCAGCTATTGAAGTGCCTGAACCGTGACTTGGGGCTCTTGGTGGGTTTCAACTCTAGCCTACCCCAACTTGCTTGGGACTGAAAGGCTATGTTGTTGTTGTTGTATCTGGAATTAAAATATTCTGCATTCTTTAGGTGTGTTATAAATTGATAACTTGGTTGATTGTTTGAGAGTTGAGACCATGTGTTCGCTAGTCGTCTATGACAAGGCAAGTACACATAGGACCTTACATTCACCAAACAAAACAGCTGCACGCATGGTAATTGTTAAATTAGCTACTTTTTTGTGTTTTACTGTCATAAATATACTGTAATCCACTTCGGCATGACATTTGATTTTTTTTTGTTTCATTCTTATGTTGTTCATGTTTCTTTCTTCCTTTCCCTATTAACAGCTCATTTCTTTTCTGTTGTCTTGTCACGGAACCACCATATTACAGCCTGAAACATTGTTGTTTTCGTCAATGAATGAAATGAAAGGGACAAGCTTGCTATTTCCAGTCAACATGAATTAATGGGTACATCCTGTATAGGCACATGTTCTTTGATCTTTTGATCTTTCTCCTTTTGATGTGATTCAAATCCACTTGTATTATCTGATAATGATGATCTGGACTTAACCTGAGGCGTCTTTATGAAGTGAACTTAAATATATTGGCTTGACAAAGTTGACCAAAGCAGCATTGCGTAAGGTTGTTGCGTAATAATGCTCATATTCAGATGGATGCACTATGGAAACAGAGTGACGCATGCTGAAATTAATCAGTATTTATTGCATGGCGTCACACCAACTTTTTTTTCAACTTTTTTTAAGCATATCTCTTTCCAATTTGAAATTCCATGACCATTTCAATACTTGATGTCTTCATGGGTAGTTGATAGAGTTCATGGAGCACACATCTTTTTGTTGCAACGTGGACGCAGGAATGCCAATTGATCAGTCCATCTAACCTGTGATACTACCATCCCATTTTTGGGGTTGACTGTTCTTCCTGTGTTATCCCCTTCTTCCTATGTCAGGCGTGGATACCTTGTCCAACTCAGAATAATGAGGAAATTGAAACCGATACTTGGAAGCTTGGATTTGAAGCTCCTATGTATGGTAGAATGAAGTTACTTCTCAATTTCACTCTATCAGGGTGAACTTTTCTTATCTTGAAACGAAAAGATAGGAAGTCTGGTCCTATGTCTAAACAAAACTATTACATTTAGAGCCGCAAAGGAAGGAAACAAGGATGAAAGATATAGTCCCCATTCGTCAGTGTATCTGTGATGTATCAAAACTGTGATACTAGCGTATGGGTGCTAGTTTCGCAATTTTAGTATGGATATATCACAGTTACACTGAAGAAATGACCGGACAAAATAGAACTACTGGACCTAGGACTTCATATAACTCTTTTTCTTGATGTTGTGCCGCCTAATGGAACCATATTGCTCATCCCCTCCTGCTCCTCCTGCTGCTATTATTACTGTTGTTCTTACTGTTGTTATTGTTGTCCTGCAGGAAGTCAAGGAGCACAGGGCTCTTGCACTGGGGGCACCGAGGGTCATCTTGTGGGAGCATGACATAGATGAAGCAGCGAGGACAGGCAGCAAGAACCATGGATGTGGCCTCCGGGCTGTTGGACCACTGTAGGCCATGCTCGTTCTCTGACGACAGGCAGGAGCTTGGGGACGACTCCTCATCAGCCATCGCCCTCCTGGAGGCCCCCTGTTGCAGGAAGAAGAGAGGTTCAGTTTCAGGTCAAGGCCCCTAGAGCTCTTCCTGTTGCTGCGGCTCATCCTTTGGAGGTATGTGCTGTCTGCATCCATCAAATGTTGAATCAGCTGATTGAGATACACTTCAGAATGGATGCTCTACTATTACGAGGATTAGAGGCCTAGATACAGATAGCAAGGGGACTTACTGTTTTGCAGAGTGACGAGGCGCTGGATGCAAGCAGGTGGAGATGAGAGCGATGTGAAATGCTCTGGAAGGAGAGGACTATGAGCTTTAGAATGCTCAGAGGTGTTTCTTTGGTGTTATTGGAGAAGAGATGGCTGGTATTTATAGGGGGAGAAGGATGGGAGGTCAATTGGTTTTCTTTAATGTGACAGTAAGAGCTACGCTCCCACTTAATTATTACTCTCTACTATCTCATAGTAGTAGCAATAGTACAACTGTACGTATTTTATTGCCTATCATATTCATGGTTGGGGAGTGGCAAAGGAAGGATTGAATATGTGTTGGGTGGAAGAGAAGTGCTAGGTGAGAGGTTTTGTGGTGGCCTGTTGGGTCATATGAAAATCTGAATGAGGAAAACAGGACCTGGGACACAAATCTTCAGTTGAGTTTTTGCTTCGCTTTGCGTTGCTTTTTACACAACATTTAACCAGTCCTGGGAAACTTTTACCTGGTGCTTAACAAGTAAATTGGTATTTCTTTTATTGTTAATCAGTATTTTTAGCCACCTAGCATTGCACTTGCTCCACAGCATTTTCTAGATTTAGGCTTCTTTTTTATTGCATTTGGGTGAGAGGTTAAACTCGCTATCTATATTTAAAACATTTTCCAAATTTTTGAAAATGACTGATCCCACAGATTTTAGGAATAAATACCTTATGGCCACTGGAAAGTTAGTTGGGCCAATCAGATAATTATGACAATTATTATTTGTTGTGTAGTTGAGTGTTGAAACCACCAATTTTGTTTCCTTTTGATTATCTATAAAGCTTGTACAGTTGAAATTTAACTGGCTTCCAATTGATTATATTTATAAAGCTTGTACAGTTGAAACTTGACTGGCTTCCAATTGATTTCACAACTTGATGTGCCCATGAATGGAATTTATTGGGCACAGAATTTCAAATGCACAGTATTGCTAAAAGAGCACTAAATGGGCTTGAATTTTGAGCCATTTTTCTTGTTTATTTGAATAAATGAGGCTCTTGAATATAGATGGAGTATGCTGCTAGCTTATGAAATTAGGTATTTAGGTCTTTGAATGACGCAAGGCAAGGGCTGTGCACCCATACATTGCCTGGTGCGCATCTTGATACAATGGCTAAGAGATAAGCAAACTCATTAATGCCACTTTGTTTGATGCACATAAGAGCAGCCTCCTCTAATGTCATCTCCCTCCCACCCTATGAATTGAAGCTCTGGGATTTTGCTTGTTTCCAGCCTGCAGTGTTTAAATGCTGACAGCGTATATATTAAATTCGATGGTTGACTTGTTAGTATTCTGGAGATATTGCATCCCGGGTTTGCGACTTAAATCGCCTTTCGATTAAGAAAAGGGTGAAAAATTGTTCCTCAAGTCATAGTAGCAACCCACTAATGTAATCCCCCAAGATTGCTTCCATATCCCACCTTGGTTAATGATGATGACACACAACTCACTTAAAGTTGTTTTGGTTTGTGTGTTGCATTGGGTCTGGTCAATGGTTAAGAGAGAGCCATCTGTGCATTTCTTTTTTCTTGTACCTTTGCTGGAACTAATCCCGGCATTAATGCCACTTTTGGGGCAAATAGAAGCAGTAATTAATGGTTTTGGGATCCAGAGCCAAATTGTATTCGCCTTGGGTTCAAAGATTAAAATTCGCTTCACCCAATCGCCTATATTATTTTGCCATCATTCGCCATGATTCGATGCTGACGTGTTTAAGGCCAGTCTCAACGGGGAGTTTCATTACGTTGTTTGCAAGACTGCCATGTCATTTGAAATGAAATGAAACTTGGATGAAACACCTACTCTCAATGGAGAGTTTCATTCCATGGTTTCTTAGGCATTTAATTCCAAGACTCGTAGAGAGTTGGTAATCGTGTCAAGAGAGTTTCATTTAGATAAAACATATTTCTTCTCTCTTTTTAAATACACTACCATGTCATCAAAAGTGTCTATGTGACGAAGAAGGCTCGGAGTTGAATGCAACTTCAGCTCAACTACGGAGACATGGGGGGTTGACCTGAATGTGGGCTCATAACTGTGGCACTAGGTTAGTATTGGTACAGGATATAGTTTAAAAATGATTTTGCATGTATAAGTTGTGATTAGTCGGTGTTTTGGGACCGATCCCATGTGCCCTTCTTTAAATTCGTGGCGTGATCTAAGGTGTTAACTAAAGCTTAACGAAAATTAGCCCCATGCTTTAGTCATGCCGTAATATTGTTCTTTTTCCATGGAGAAGTTCGCGGAGCAACTTATGGAAATGTATATGGACAACTAAGTTTTTCTTTTGAATTCCTTTTTGCGTGTAGTAATTTATCTTGAGCATTGATTCTTTCTGGTGTGGGCCGGTTGTGGCGCTAAAATGATATATAAATGACGCTCATATGGTGGTAACGGTTGATGACTTACACTTCCGTGATTTGAGTGCAATTTAAACCCTATTCTTAAGACTTACCCTTCCGTGATTTGAGTGCAATTTTAAACTCCATTCTTAAGTCATAGGTGGCTAGGATATGTAGGATAGTCGATCGAGCTGAGGACTGCTCTCGTAGTGCTGTAAACATTTCTGTTCTCCATAAAACACACCAGTTGGCAAAACACGTTTTAGCTCATGCAGTTGTGGGAAATATTTCCATGGTTAACTTGTTTCTACACATTTATATAAAATTTACTTTGCCAGCAGCAGCCTGGTGCCCAATAACTCCAAACATAAGATGAAATAATTACTGCATTTTTCAAGCATATCTGTGATGTTTCATCCTCAATTGTTCTAGAGACAATGAGGCGATATGGATCATCGCAGCTAATCACATAGTAACACCGATAACATTAAGCAAAAACTTATCAGTAAAACATTTGCCCAAAGATCTCAATAATTTGAAGTAATGTGTGTCGTGGATGCCCCAAGATCTCAAGAACTTGAAGTTATGTGTGTCGTAGTCAGTATTTGTAAATGCGACACTGATTTGTAAATCTGAGATCTCATATTATACTGTCTGCGATGCCCTCAACCTGAAAAGAGAAAAAAAAATGAATTATATAACCAATTATTGTACTAGGAACCTCTAAACTCATATAATCACAATTCAATTCCCAATTTACCTGATGCTAATTTAATTGCCAATTTACCTGATGCTGACATTTTTGTCAATACAAGAAAAGATACATAGAAAAAACAGAGAGCAATCTTCTTATTGGCGGTTGGCATTAGTTTCCATGACTTCCCCTATTGTTGCGTTGGAAGAATAGACAAATACATCATCCCACCCACGAAGGAAACATCTCACCAATATCTTAACCTTGTGACACCGTGGGGTTTATGCCACAGTGCTCTGTAACTCGCGGTTCAAAAGCTAGTTAAGGCTAAATATCATATTCTAATCACAAAGGAAAAGATCCTGCGCATTAATGTTGGAGGGTGAGTCAAACGCCTAATCTTCTCACACACGCACGAGCGCGTCCAACTAACAATGCATTAAAGCATCCGAAGCATCCTTCAAAAACTAAAAGAATAAAATGAAGCATTAAGCTTAAGAACTTGTTTAACCTATTAGTTTGAAGATAGTGGACTCAGAGTGCAGGCATCACATTAATCTTCCTTTTAATGCTAGTACGAACCCAGGAGTAGACTACTGCAAGAAACTGGTGTTGTTAGAGGAACACAGCATTAACCCTGGTTGCTTGAAGATACTGCCATGAACATCATAGCCCAACTTAAATAAACAACACAAAAGTTTTGAATCTCCATAATACCGCCACAAGTACTATAGTCCTAATGTCAACCCATATGACCACTCTAGATCTTATTCAATATTTTTTATGGTTCATGTACTGTTCTATCTTACATTTGTCCTATATGCTCTAAATAGTTTAGCTATGCTTCTATATTTGTTTGCAAATTTTTGTAGCAGATACTCTCAAGCACTGCTGTAACGTGACATAATATTATTGAAACGACAGGACAGTTGATGAATAGTTTCAAGCCACCTGCCAAAAATGTATATCATACGGTTTAGTCATTCATACAAGTGCATTTGTATGAGGCTCATCATTATAATAATCCAACCTACATTAGATCCCTTCTTCATCAGATTTCCCTAAATATTTCAGAAGCCTCATATGCACATATATTTTTTAGTCAAATAATCACACCTCAATCACCTAACAAAGATCAAACAGGACAAATTTTAGCACCCCGTCCTCATCACGCCGAGTACTGAGGAGTGAGGACTCCTTCAAAGAGGAATATTACAGGATTTAGTACGTGCATCATAATGGTAGACATGCACCACGAGCACAAGACATGCACATACACTCGTGTGCATGCCCACAAGAAGACATAGTGCTCACAGGCACACATCCCACTAAGAATCTAACACGGATCAACCAGATAAGCAGAGAGTTTAAATATTTTTTTAGATGCTGCCAAATTTTTTTACTGTTGCAGAGCTACTAATACGAATATCATAAGTCAGTGTTTGAAGCCAAGTGCAGCAAGATCATTGACCTGGGAGAGCAGTATTGGTGCAGCACCATCGACATGAAGATAAGTTTGTCTGCCATAAACAGGCCGTAACAGATCCACACCAAAAAAAAATGGTCGTGCACCACCTATTGAAGAGGCTCCAACAGGCTAGGTAGGTAGCCACTAGGTGAGGTTTATATACCTAGGATAGCACATGTAAGCACTAACCTACAAGAACAGCTGCACAGATATTTGGTATCTACGAATGTACTAATCTCTCTTTTATAATCCGAAAAG